ACTTGGATTTTTAAAAAGGATTTCACATGTATCACTGAATGATATTCATTCATTCATTCATCATGTGTGCCAGGCACTGTGGTAGGTGCTAGAGATTCTAAGTTGAGAGGTTTATTGCCTTTGAGAAACTCACAGACAAATGGGGAGAGAGAGGAACATTAGCAAATTATTAGAAGACAGTGTCAGTATTGAATGAGAGCATTGAATGAATTAAGAAGATGGGCACTAGAATCAGCTCAGTAATCCCATTACTTAATGTGATACGTTACTTAGCCCTTCTGTTTCTGTGCCTTGGTTTCTTCACCTGTAGAGCTTTCACATACAGAAGATAGGCGCCTGGCACCTAGTAAGTGATCAATAAATGTTAACTATAATCTATTATTAGCTTCTCTGCTTAGGCCTCATAGAGGAAATAACATTTCACTGGTCACTGAAGGATGGGTCTCTACTAGAAGGAGGGCAGGAAAGGACAGCTAAGAATAGCCTGATAACAGACAGAGGAATGAAAACGCATGATGTTTTCAGAAATTGGGGAATGATCCAGTGTAGCTGGAGGACAGAGGATGTGTAGGAGATGGTGAGAGATGAAGCTGGAGAAATAAGACCAAGATAGTGAAGGGTCTTGTTTGCTGCTGGAGTTTGGACATAATCTGATAGGTGAAATAGAACCCTCAGAAGTCTTTAAAGAGGGGCTTGAATCAATCTAAACTGTCTTTTTTTTTTTTTAGTAAAGTTTTATTCACATACAGCTTGCACGTTTGTTTACATGTTGTCTGGCTGCTTTTGCACAAGGGCAGAGTAAGTAGTTTAAACTGTGTTTTAAAAGGATCCTTCCAGCACATCTGTGGAGGATGGACTGGATGGGAGGGAGGCAGGGAGACCATTGAGGAGGAGAAGGAAGGGGCTGCTGAAAACTCCTGGTGAGAAACTGAGAGAGTGAGAACTGCAGTGATGGATGTTTCAGAGGTGGGTCAACGGGGCATGGTGACTAGTGGAAGGCGTGTGAGAGTGGGAGGGGCGTTGAATAGCTGAGGTGTCTGGGGAGATGCTGATGCCACTTACTGGTAGACTAGCAGAAGGAACAGATTTTTCCTTCCTAATGATTTCATCCAAGGAAGGAAGCCTGCTTCTTCCTGATCTTGGGAGCAAGTATTCTAAAACTCACAAATCCATTTTTTAGCTAGGAGCTGTTTCTTCTCTCTTGGACCTTGTAAATGGTTAGCTGCTCCAGACAAGTAATTACTGATCTCAGGCAATTAGGACAGGAAGTGGCTGTGTTTATTTCACTCCCTGGTGTCTCCTGGGGGAGAGAGAGGTGAAAGTCATGTGTTTGTTTCTACCACATTTGTAAGAATGGATGGAACTGGAACATCATCCTTCCTCTGTTAACAGACACATGGGCCTCTTCTCACTCCCACCACCACCAATCTCTGTAGAAAACAGTGTTGAATTTAAAAGTTCTTTCCAGCTTTTCCCCTCTCTTTGCTGGTTTCCCCCAAAATATCGTTCAACTTTGTGGCCCAGCCAAGGAATTCTGAGTCCACCCTAGCTGTTGGGCTCCAGAATAGCACCTTTCCCACCACTGCCATCTCCCTGTCTCAGAGTTGACCTAGTTCTGGTTCGAGGTGTGTGGGGACCTCTGCTGTTAGCACAGCTTGGCTGGGCATGATCTGTCCCTGCTCAGTCATATTTACAAGTACCCTGGATACAGAACATCATGTTGGCACTAACCAACGTGATGAAATAGCCCATCCCATAGAGTTCTGTCCTTGGTCTTTTACTTCCAGCTTCCTCCTTTCTCTGCCTTCCTTCCACTTTCTTTCAACCAGGAATTGTTTCTAGCTGGTGAGTTTCCTTGGTTTGAGGGATGGAGGACTCAAAGTTCTTTTCTCTCCACTTACTTTTCTATGAAGTAGTCACATTCGTTACCCTCCCTCTTCCAGGGTGGCTCTTAGATGTTTCAAGTACAGATCTTCCTTGACTTATGATGGGGTTCTGTCCCAGTAAACCCCTTGTAGGTTGAAAATATCCTAAGTTAGAACTACATTGAATATACCTCACCTACTGAACATCAGAGCTTAGCTTAGCCTAGCCTACCTTAAGTGTGCCCAGAACACTTACATTAGCCTACAGTTGGGCAAAATCATCTAATACAAAGCCTATTTTATAATAAAGTGCTGAATATTTCGTGTAATTTATTGAATCTGTACTAAGAGTGAAAAACAGAATAGTTATATGGGTACAGAATGGTTGTTAAGTGTATCAGTTGTTTAACCTCGTGATCGAGTGGCAGACTGCAAGCTGCGGCTGCAGCTGCCCAGCATCACGAGAGAATATGTACTGCATACCGCTAGCTTGGGGAAAAAAATGAAAATTCAAAATTAGAAGTATGGTTTCTACGGAATGTATATTGCTTTTGCACCATCATCAAATCTAAAAATCGTTAAGTCAAACCACTGTATATACACCACTTTGGTGGGCAGAAAAGTCCTATGGAACATCTGCTTCTGTTTGTCTCGGGAGCTGGGTTGGGAGAGGGTAAAATTCCCTGGACTGTGTGGAGTGAATAATTCCTTCTTTTATGAAAGACTATTGAGAAGATGTCTATTGTTTTCAGTAAAAGTTGACCCCACACTAATAAGAGTGACCATGAGCACTGTTACTTGATGAAATATTATCATTATAGATACCAGCCTTGGACCATCAATTGAACTCTACTGATTTCTGGGCCACTCTAAAACCTCTGTTGTAAACTGGGTTTCTCTAGCCTTGATTTTAGGGTACTCTGTTGTCTTAAACCATCTGAAAGGGAATAGCTACTTGTTTTTTTTTTTTTAAAAAAATATTTTTTTCTTACATCCATCTAGTTTTTTTTTAATTGTAGTTGATTTACAATGTTATATTAGTTTCTGCTGTAGAGCAAAGTGATTCAGTTATACATATGTATATATCCTTTTTCATATTCTTTTCCATTATGGTTTACTACATGATATTGAATATAGTTCCCTGTACTATACAGTAGGACCTTGTTGTTTATCTATTTTATGTATAGTAGTTTGTGTCTGATAATCCCAAACTCCTAACTTATCCCTCTGCCACCCCCCTTTCCCCTTTGGTAACCGTAAGTTTGTTTTCTATGTCTGTGAGTTGTGTCATATTTTAGATTCCACACATAAGTGATATCATATGGTATTTGTCCTTCTCTTTCTGACTCACTTCACTTAGTATGATAATCTCTTGGTCTATCCATGTTGCTTCAAATGGCATTATTTCATTCTTTTTTATGGCTGAGTAGTATTCCATTGTGTATGTATGCCACATTTTTTTTATCCATTTATCTGTTGGTGGACATTTAGGTTGTTTCCATGTCTTGGCACTATTACATAGCAGCACTATTACATGGCAACACTATTGTAAATAGTGCTGCTATGAACATGGGGTGCATATATCTTTTTGAATTACAGTTTTCTCCAGATATATGCCCAAGAGTGGGATTACTGGATTATATAGCAACTCTATTTTTTAGTTTTTTAAGGAACCTACATACGGTTTTCTAGTGGATGTACCAACTTACATTCCCACCAGTAGTGTAAGAGGCTTCCCTTTTCTCCACACCCTCTCCAACATTTGTTATTTGTAGACTCTTTAATGATGGCCCTTCTGACCAGTGTGAGGTGGTACCTCATTGTAGTTTTGATTTGCATTTCTCTAATAATTAGCAATGTTGAGCATCTTTTCATGTGCCTATTGGCCATTTGTATGTCTTCTTTGGAGAAATGTCTGTTTAGGTCTTTTGCCCATTTTTTGATTGGGTTGTTTGTTTTTTTGTTATTGAGTTGTGTGAGCTGTTCGTACAATATATTTTGGAAATTAATCCCTTGTCAGTCACATTGTTTGCAAATATTTTCTCCCAGTCCATGGGTTGTCTTTTTGTTTTGTTTACGGTTTCCTTTGCTGTGCAAAAGCTTCTAAGTTTGATTAGGTCCCATTTGTTTATTTTTGCTTTTATTTCTATTGCCTTGGGAGACAAGATATCAGTTTTTTTCTTATGACAAAAACAAAGCATGTTTATTATAGGAAGTTTAGCAAATACAGAGAAACAATAATGAAAAATCATCCATAATTCCAACCACCCAGAGAAAAACACTGTGAAATCTGTGGCCTAGCCTTTTAGTTTAGGTGGTTTTTTTTTGGCTGCACCATGAATCTGTGGGATCTGAGTTCGCCGACCAGGGATCGAACCTGGGCCCTCAGCAGTGAAAGAGCAGAGTCTTAACCACTGGACCGCCAGGGAATTCCCACCTTTTAGTTTTTCTAAAAATGTATTTATTCATTTTTTTAAAAAGGGGTTATAGTATGTATCTCTTTTATGATCTTCAATTAATAGATTATTATAAACATCTTTCCTTGTCATTGAAAATTATAACATCATGTTTAATAATTCTACAGTGGTCCATTTTATGTAGGGAATAGGGACATTATTAATTAAAATTAATATATTTTAATTTGAAAAAATAATAAACATATGGCCTGAAGAGAGTACATAAGGAAGGGATGTTATAAAAATAGTGATGGGATGTTGCAACAAACAAAAGCATACGTTTCACAGCTCTGAATGACATAAGCAATAATTGTAGGCTTAATCAATTGGTAAGTTAAATAGGACATGGATGTTAACAGACTTGATTCCTTTATTCATCTTCGGGCTGAAGTTTTGTAAAATCTTTCTGGATCTGAAAATTTTACAAGAAATATACCTGTGGTATCTCAGGTTGCTAAAGGTAAGTGGTTTTGACTTCCTTGGTTTCCTTTCATCAGAAATCAAGCCAAGATCCTTCCACTCCTGTGAGTTTGCTATTAGCATCTTATGCACCAGGAGATACTTGACAGGTATCTGAGGTATTTGAGCAGTTATGGAAAGTTTCTTGTTTTGGGGAGTTGCTGAATCTAATCCTAATTGATGTGGCTGGATTATTCCATATATTTATTTCTTTTTACAGGTAGTGCCTTCCTCAGTGCTATCTTTCTTGCCTTAGCAACATACCAGTCTCTTTACCCACTCACCTTGTTTGTCCCAGGACTCCTCTATCTCCTCCAGGTAAGCACTTGCTGGTCAGAAGCCAACACTCAGGTGACATTTAATACGTGGCCTGTTCCCTGCTTAGGGGAGAGAAGGGCAAGGCACAATAAAGGCAACAGGACTGGGTCCCCAGTTCACATTTGCTTGCTTCTACTTGAAAACACAAAGAAACTTGACTAACTTTAAACAAAGTGGACCTAATGATCATTATGTTCTAATTATACATATCATTGCAAATGTGTCAGTGCGTTTCATTTTCATGTTTGTAATCGGGATCTACCAACCATCTTGCATTCTCCTTTTTTTACCTAATGTTCACAGATCTTTCTCTGAGCCCATTTAACTATTTTGTGTAACCACACTCACCTCGTAAGGTTCTTGCATGGATGAAATGTAGTGGGTGCACCTCTTGCAATGTTTGGACCATAGTGGGTGATCAGTAGTTTAATTGAAGAATACAATACAACTGCTGACATTTACTGAGAACATACTACATGTCAGTCACTATGCTGAACACTCTATAGGCATCTTCTCATTTCAACCTCAGAAGAACTTTATGGGGTAGGTCATATTATTAGCCATATAATAATCTAGTATTAGCCATATTAGACACATGAATTGCAACTGGAATGTAGGGCGGTTTAGTCACTTGCCTGAGGTCACACAGCCAGCAAGTGACTGCCAAGAGGTGAGCTTGGGTAGTCTGACGCAAGAGCCTGCTCTCTAACCTTAATGTCTTTTCTACTCAAATAAGAATACACACATCTCCTCAAGAGCAAGTAACTGCTTGCAGGTCCTGCATGGTCCAAATCCATTCTTAGAAGAGAAACATTTCTTGAAAGCGTATGGAGGGCAATGCCAGGATTCAAACCAAGAAATGTCTGCTTTCAGAACCCTTGTTCTTAATTATAAACACTGTTGCTGAAACTGAGTGTATACCTCCATTTATTGAAATAGACCATGTACTTGTCATCTTAAGTGACTTCATGTATCTTTGTGTTGATGTTGATGTACACAATGATACATGTTTAGCTTGATCTTTCTCCTATTTGGGGAATTTGAGATGTGCCCTAGTTGTCACTAACACAAATAGTATAGACATTTGTTTTTAAGTTATTTCCTTAAGGTGTGTTCCTCCAGCTGAATCATTGGATCCAAAGGTGTGAGAAGTTTTATAGTTCTTATGAGGCAAGACCAGAGTGTTCACCAGAAAGCGGGAGCCAATTTGCAGTGCCGCCCACCATCAGTGTCTGAAGTGAAGTGAACCACTTCCTCCCAGGTCGCCAGCATTGGCTTTTCAAATTCAATTTATGATCGCTAATTTAATAGATGTACCATCATACTGTGAAGTTATTTTACTTTGATTTTCTTTTTAGATTCTTGTTGAATGCAAACATTTTCCCACATAACAATATGCTGTTGGTATTTTCTTTCTGGCTTCATATTTACAGTTAATTCTTTAGAAAGTCTGAGCACCAAGAAGAATGCATGCAACCAAATTTTTGTGCAACTATTTATTAAATACATACTATAAAAATATGTTTACTCATACACATGAACTGACCAAAAAATTTTAAACTGTTTGTTAAGCCAAATACTACCTTAAGTAAAATAGCTTTTGTTTAAAACTCAAGGAAATTTCCTCCTGACAACAATGGACAGCACAACTGAGTCATGAAATCAAGCAGCTCAACCAGTCACTTTATTCAGTCCCTCCCTCTACCAATATGTACTGAGCATCCCAAGTCCAGTATGCTAGACACTATGGTAGACTCTGCAGATAAAAAGCAATTGAAGGTTATGGAGCTGGGAGTGCTGCAGGAAGACTGCTCTGGCAGCAGCCTTTGTCATGGAGTGTAGTGAGGGGGAGCTGAGGTTGGGAAAGGTTAGGCCACTGTACTAGATCGAGTCAGAGGGCTTGGTCGGGGGCCCAGACCAGTGTCAGGGAAAATGGAGAGATGAGGGACTAGATGCAGAATTCTAGGGAGTAGAATTGGCTTTGCTGGCAGCCGTATATATGTGGTGAACAAGACTGGAAAGAGTGAGATGAACTTCAGGACCCATTTATGTAAAAATTTCAATCCCAGCCCATACTATATTTACATATTTTTATATAAGTATATGAAGTGGCCTTGAAAGGCAGTAGGGCCTTGTGAGTCATGGTAGTGTATTTGGAAAGTCAATCCAGTCACATCCAGGAAATAAACCCACTTGTTTAAATATGAGGGAGGGAACAGAAGAGGAAATTACCTTTAGGTGTGAGCTTCTCACAGAGACCCATAGGCTCCGAGGAGAGAAACTAGAACTAATGGGTGGGAACTATAAGGAGCCCAGTATGAGGCGGTCCTGGGATAGCATAGGGTGCCTCAAGTGAGGTGAGTTCCCTGTGGGTCAGAGTGTTTAGGCCACATACCGAATTGCCACATATTGGGGAGTTGTAGCAAAGCTCTGAGCATCAGCATGGGTAGCTAGACCTGATAGTCTTAAAAATCCTTTCATTCCCCAAATTGAATTGGATTTGATAACCACAAGGAAGTGATACGTCTGCTCTTGCTGTTGTATTTTTCTCAGAGTTTTCCGAGCCCTCTGTAGGCATATACATCCCTCTAGGAAAGGTTATGTAATGTACATAAGAGCACAGGCTTGACTGGGACATCTTAAGATGGAAAGCAAAGTAGTCTTAAAGACTAATGGTACTATATCAAAAGAACAATGGAACCAGCCCAAAGGGGCTTCTACTGGCTAAATTTAGTATATTCTGAGCATCAAAAGAATAATTACTGCAAGTAATTGTAAAACACCGAGTAAATAAGAGTCTGTGTGTCCATAGTGATGCTCAGAAAAGGGGCAAGGAGAGAAAAAATGCATATGCCATCATTAGATATGGCTATTTTTATTAATTTCTTGCTCTGAAAATCAATACTTAAATGGAAAGAACTAAGCAGTTACCCTTTCTTTTTATTTTTTATTTATTTATTTTAAAAATTTTATTTATTTATTTGGTTGTGCCGGGTCTTAGTTGCTACAGGCGGGCTCCTTAGTTGTGGCACACGGGCTCGTTAGTTGTGGCATGCAAACTCTTAGTGATGGCATGCATGTGGGATCTAGTTCCCTGGCCAGGGATCGAACCTGGGTCCCCTGCATTGGGAGTGCTGAGTCTTAACCGCTGAGCCACCAGGGAAGTCCCATACCCTTTCTTTTTCAAAGGAGCTATAATTCTTCCCTAGCTAATGAAGGAAAGTTCTTTACAGAAAATTTCCAGCTTATAACTGTAGAAGGAAGGATAGAATAGTAAATCATCAGTGAAATTATTAAATCTAGCAAAGATCATCATTGGACGCTAAAGTCATTAGATGAAAGATTTTTGGAGAACAGAATATTTGCATTTGCATGGTGCCAAAATAGTACCCCCCTCCCACCTCTAAATTATTTGCTAATAGCAACGGGAAAAGTAAATCTTTACAAAGGAGTGCTCTGGTAGTCACCACCGTAACCAGGTAATCTAGCTCAGCATCACTTACGGTGGAACGGCCTGACATGATATGCTTCATGATGTGCTGCAGTGCAAAGTACACAACATCAGCTCCAAAGTATTTTTACCCAGAATGTTAACCTTCATTAAGCCTTTAGATCTGACTTCTGGTTTTTAGGAAGTACAAGAGCAGAAGAACAAGTTAAATGATACTATTAGGAAATAAATAACCAAAATATAGGACAATCTATAAGACAGCTGGTCTGCTTCTCTTCAAAAAATCAATGTCATACAAAAGAAAAAGTGAGGGGACTGTTCTAGATTAAAGAGACAGTAACTGACTGGAATGGGTGAGTCTTGACTGGATTCTGGGTTGGAAAAAACAGTTATAAAGGATGTTCGGGGGTACTCAGAATTTTTTTTTTTTTTTTTTGCGGTACGCGGGCCTCTCACCGCCACAGCCCCTCCCGCTGCGGAGCTCAGGCTCCGGACACGCAGGCTCAGCGGCCACGGCCCACGGGCCCAGCCACTCCACAGCATGTGGGATCCTCCCGGACCGGGGCATGAACCCGCGCCCCCCGCATCAGCAGGCGGACTCCCAACCACTGCGCCACCAGGGAAGCCCGGGTACTCAGAATATTTTGAAGATAGATTAGATATTAGATGATGATAGGAAATTGTTAACTTCTTGGATGTGATAATAGTATTATGGTATATAGGAGTATGTCCTTATTTTTAGGAGCTGTATGCAGAAGTCTTTGGGGGAGAAGTGTCATGATGTATAGAAAATTCATACACACAGAAAAGTTCATATATGGCAATGTGTTATGGTTTCATTAGATGACAGACATATGGTTGATTATTGTATTATTTTTTCAACTTTTCTGTGTGTTTGAAAATTTTACAATGAAAAGGAGAGACATTAGAATACAGGCCCTGAAGCTGTCTTGGCTTGGATTCTGCTTAGCTCCGTGACCCTGGGAAGTGATTACTTAACTTCTCTGTGCCTCAGTTTCCTCATCTGTAAAATGGAGATAATGCAGTAGTAGCTACTGCAAAGGGTTAATACATGTCAAGTATTTAGAACAGTATGATACAAATTCAGTAGGTATTAGTTATGGTTATTAGTATTCAAATGTTCATAGAAAGGACATGGTTACCAGCGGGGAGATACGTGGGGTGATAGGGGGAAGAGAAAATAATTCATTTTCTAGAGTCAAAGGAACTGTAAACATTAGTTTGTACTTACCCCTTTGACGCTACAAATCTGCCTCCATTCTGCTGGTACTATTTCTAGAGGGTACAAAAGGCAGGTGGTAGACAAGCTAACGTCTGATCAATGCCAAAGGCAAAGCTGTTTTTCTCTTCCCTACATGAGACACAGAAAGGCTTCATGATGAAAGGCGGGATGCTGCATCTGGCTCCCTGGTGAGTCACTTCTGAGAATGGTAGTTTGAGCCCATCTGGTCCCTTCCCCCAACTTTACTCTTCCTCTGACCTTGGCTTACAGCCTAGTTTCCAAATTAGAGAGAAGCTTAAAATGTTA